CCACCAAACCCTAGATCCATATACCACCACCCCCTACTACCGTCGTCACCGTCGGAGTTCACCGGAGATCGTTGAATATCAAATTTAGGGCATCGATAAATTTTTAATAAAATTTCTTATTTTTTATTTTTTTTCTCCTAAATTTTTACATATTCTCACTATTCTATGCTAATAACTTGTTTAAATTTAAATCTTGAAATAATTTTTAAAATATTTATGAATTTTGTGAAGAAAAAATAAAAAAAATTGTATAAGAAGTTAGAGGGGAAATTATGAAAAATTGGAAAAGTTAATGTATTATTTTTCAAATTCTAAAAGTGAATATTGTTTAAATTATTTAAATTAGACAATCTTAAAAATATAAAGGTTTGACATTTGAAGAAATTTTCACTGTAGACCCAATCCCAGATTTAATCCCTAAAACCGACCCACTTTAAATTTATTTATGAGAATCGACCCACTTTGAGTTAATTACGGTACTAATTAGTCGGGGTTGTCAACCCCGACTAATTAGTAGCCTAATTACAAGCGAGGTCAGAAAGCAGGGAAGGTTTGCGGCTGTTAATTAGGCTACTAATTAGTCGGGGTGACAATCCCTACTAATTAGACTACTAACACATTAAAATTTTTATCATGGTGTTCTTTCTTAACTTTTTGATTAAAAATAATTTCATCTTCATTGCTAAGTTCACATGCAAATCTAATTTTTTTTTCTTTTTTCTTTAAATACTAAATTCTTTTATTTTCTGCTTATCCGTACTTATAACGTTTGAAACATTTAAAACTTTTGAATTTTTTTAAAGATTAGTTTCCTCATCAAACCCATCTAATTGAAGTCTAGTATTTTGATTGGGTTGAATTTTTAAACTCACGTGATTTTTTTTTCAACAGAATATTTTAGTCACATGTTTTAAATTAATAATATTAGGGGGTTTATTTAAAAAATCTAGAAGAATAAAGGGTGTTTTCTGAGACACCCACATTTAAGAGAGGTTTAGTCATATTCTAAAAATGAAGAGGGGTTATCTATAATAGAACAATTTTTCCCTTTAGCCCTATTTAAATTTTTTATTATTAAAATCGATCTTTTTTTCTTTTATTTACCAAAACCGACCCGATTTCTTGATTAGCGGCTTAATCACATTCCTAATTAGTCATGGTTGCCAACCCCGACTATTTAGGATATTAATTTTTAGGGTTTAAGGCTTCTAATTAGGATTTAAGACCCTCCCAAATAGTCGGGGTTGGCAACCCCGACTAATTAGGAATGTGATTAAGCCGCTAATTAAGAAATCGGGTCGGTTTTGATAAATAAAAGAAAAAAGGGTCGATTTTAATAATAAAATTTTTTAAAAGGGCTAAAGTGAAAAATTGTTCTCTATAATACCCTCAAATTTAAGGGGTGTTTCTAAATCTAAATTAAAATAGCTGAGAAGACTTTTGTAAGACAAACCCCGTAATTGAAGTGGGTTTTTTTCTTCTAAAATTAACCCCTTAATTTAATAAAATTGGGCTAAGGGCCTAAGGCCCTCGTGCTCCAAAATTCTTTTGCTAAGTAGAGAGCAAATCAATGAGGTCAGCCATCAACCACTTTCACTCATTTATTTTCTATTTTTAAACAGGAACAACGAGCAACGTCATTCTCCTCGTTCTCAACCTCAGAACCGGCGCAAGGTTCCCCGTCTTCGTCGGAGGCCAAAGAAACATTCTCCTCCTCTACAACACACTGGCGCAAACCGCCCCTCGACATCCTAAAATTTACATCCCTGCCATCCATGCTCCCTATATATACAACTCAAACTCCACCACCAACCTAGTAGGTCTTCAAATTTCCCTTTCCCCTTAACTGTTGCTGTAATGGAGGCCTGACCCAAGTGAGCGAAGAAGAGGCCACGTACCGGTAGAAGAAGAGAGAGATCGCTTTCTTCAGGCCCTTCTAAGCTCAGCTTAAATAAATAAATTAAATAGATAGAAAATAAAATGGGGAACGATAGTAAGCCCATTTCCTTGGAGGATGTCAAGAATGAGACGGTGGATCTCGTGAGTGTTCGATGTGTTTATGTTTTTGCTTCGTCGGGTTTTTGTGTTTAATTAGAGATGTTCCTCTCTTTTTTTTTTTTTAAATCGTATTGTGTTTGGTTTGCAGGAGAAGGTTCCTGTCGAGGAAGTGTTCGAGAACCTGAAATGTAGCAGGGAGGGGCTCTCCTCCGAAGAGGGGGAAAAGCGCCTGCAAATATTTGGCTACAACAAGCTCGAGGAGAAAGAGGTATGCATGCAATGATTCCTTCACTAGTACTTAACCTCCTTTTAACTATAATTTATATAGATAAAATAGAATTATACTAGACATACATCACTTCCATTTAAATAATCATCCCACGATTACCACTAACGTACTTTTTATTATAATTTCGAGAAGTTCCAAATCTAATAAATTGCAGAATCATCTACAAAATGATACACATTATGGGGGGTGGGAATTTTCAAATGTATTGTTTCCCCATATAGGATCAACTAGTGATCCCAAAACTTTGCTATTAACACTAGTCAAAGGGTTTCCTTTCGCCAAGTTAGCTGCTTAGTGAACATTATCTTACTTTATGAATTCCTCGAAAATGTTTCTCTTATAATGTTAGGCGAACGTAATATTCTTTAAGGTTTTTTTTTTCAATTATAATGTATATAATTCAAAGACTGAACTAGTTGTGTTGATTACAGGAGAGCAAGCTCATCAAGTTCTTGGGCTTCATGTGGAATCCCCTCTCATGGGTCATGGAGATCGCAGCCATCATGGCCATCGCCTTGGCCAATGGAGGAGTAAGTTATTCCTTGTATTTTTTACCCTATTATTCTTTTCTTACTTTAGAAAAAACACCGATGACAATATCAATGCATTCAATATCAGGGCAAGCCCGCAGACTGGCAAGATTTCGTCGGAATTGTGGTCCTCCTCATAATCAACTCCACCATCAGCTTCGTCGAGGAGAATAACGCCGGCAATGCCGCAGCTGCCCTCATGGCCGGCCTCGCCCCCAAGACCAAGGTGTTGCGGGACGGAAAGTGGTCGGAGCAGGAGGCGTCGATCCTTGTCCCTGGTGATATTGTCAGCATCAAGCTCGGAGATATCGTCCCCGCTGATGCGAGGTTGTTGGAGGGTGATCCGTTGAAGATCGATCAGTCCGCGCTTACCGGTGAGTCTCTCCCCGTTACAAGGATGCCCGGCGATGAGGTTTTCTCCGGCTCCACCTGCAAGCAGGGTGAGATCGAGGCAGTTGTTATTGCCACCGGTGTTCATACTTTCTTTGGGAAGGCCGCTCACCTCGTCGATAATACTAACAATGTCGGTCATTTCCAGAAGGTACGATAAAGTCTATTTTCTCAATCTTAATTGTCTATACAAAACGATGACATAAAAATTTTTATTCCAAAAGTTTGGAATTAGCTACATGAATATTGCTCTTTCATTTAATTATATATCAACATTGTTTTAGTTACCTACTCCTGGTACTTTTTCACTCATAAAAATATAACCATATTCGTCCTTTTAAATAATGCATTTCATGGTCTTTATTGGTCATGAGTAAGCTATCTCAATTGATTCTTTCTCATTTTATACTCAAAACAAGTAATCAATTTCTACGATCATAAATGCAAATTTTATGTGTGTGTGCGCTGAGACATACATTTTGGTTCATGGTTAAGGTTCTCACCAGTATCGGTAACTTCTGCATTTGCTCCATTGCGGTCGGGATGTTGATCGAGATCATTGTCATGTACCCGGTCCAAAAGAGGAAGTACAGAGATGGGATCGACAATCTCTTGGTCCTCCTCATCGGAGGTATCCCGATCGCCATGCCCACAGTGCTGTCGGTCACCATGGCCATCGGCTCACATAGGCTGTCAGAGCAGGGGGCTATCACCAAGAGGATGACGGCCATTGAGGAGATGGCAGGTATGGACGTCCTCTGCAGTGACAAGACCGGGACTCTAACCCTCAACAAGCTCACCGTCGACAAGAGCCTCATCGAGGTCTTCGCCAAGGGTGTCGACAGGGACTCTAACCCTCAACAAGCTCACCGTCGACAAGAGCCTCATCGAGGTCTTCGCCAAGGGTGTCGACAGAGACGGAGTTGTTTTGTATGCTGCGAGGGCCTCTAGGATGGAGAACCAGGACGCTATTGATGCTTCCATTGTCAACATGCTCGCTGATCCTAAGGAGGTAATCAAAGATCTTATTTTTTTGTATACACACAAACAGAAGTATCGGGGTCAGTTAAGTAGCAACTCCCAAAACAAGTTTGAGACAAGTTCGACTCAATTTTGGACAGAAGATGGACCAAAACAAAACCAATTTGAGACAACTTTGACTCAAAAGAAAACCAGTTTGAGTCGTGGTCCATTTTTTTTGCAAACTAGGACTAGGACTTAAACTGGTTTTCTTCCACTAACCTAGTTTAAGTGAAGTTGCCAAACAGGCTCTCATATCCAATACTTATATCTCAAATTTATATTGTTGAGTAGGCGAGAGCCGGGATCAAGGAGGTGCACTTCCTTCCCTTCAACCCAGTCGAGAAGCGCACGGCCATCACCTACATCGACGAGAGCGGAAAATGGCACAGGGCAAGCAAAGGCGCACCCGAACAGATCATCGACCTCTGCAACATGACCAAAGACGCCAAGCATAAGGTCCACAAGATGATTGATCAGTTTGCTGATCGTGGCCTTAGATCATTGGGTGTTGCAAGGCAAGAAGTCCCAGAGGCAACCAAGGAGAGCGAGGGCGCACCGTGGCAGTTCGTGGGGTTGCTCCCGCTCTTCGATCCACCGAGGCACGACAGCGCTGAGACCATCCGTCGTGCCCTAAACCTCGGCGTCAATGTCAAGATGATCACAGGTGATCAGCTCGCTATCGGTAAAGAGACCGGAAGAAGGCTTGGTATGGGGACTAACATGTACCCGTCCACTATTCTTCTTGGTGACAAGAACAACGAGCTTGACATTGATGAGCTTATCGAGAAGGCTGACGGATTTGCAGGAGTCTTCCCAGGTATGCAGCATATATTCAAAATCTGAATATATTACAATTCTGAAGTTACAGTGAAGATTGAGAGTATATACATTGAGGGTTATCTGTATACACAGAGCACAAGTACGAGATCGTGAAGAGGCTACAAGACAGGAAGCATATCTGCGGTATGACGGGTGACGGTGTCAACGACGCTCCGGCCCTGAAGAAGGCTGACATTGGTATCGCCGTCGATGATGCGACCGATGCTGCACGAAGCGCCTCTGACATCGTTCTCACGGAGCCCGGTCTGAGCGTCATCGTCAGTGCAGTCCTAACTAGCCGTGCCATCTTCCAGAGGATGAAGAACTACACCATCTACGCTGTATCCATCACCATCCGTATTGTCTTTGGCTTCATGCTCATCGCCCTCATCTGGAAGTTTGACTTCTCTCCCTTCATGGTCCTCATTATCGCCATTCTTAACGATGGTACCATCATGACCATCTCCAAGGATCGCGTCAAGCCCTCGCCTCTCCCTGACTCCTGGAAACTCAAGGAGATCTTTGCCACTGGAATCGTTCTTGGAGCCTACCAAGCGATCATCACCGTTGTCTTCTTCTATCTTGTCCACGACACCGACTTCTTCCCTGTTAGTACCTATCTTATTCTCATCCATCACGAACCAGTACACAACATTTTTGCTAAAGCGACGATGTTGTTTTCCTCCTACAGGAGAAATTCGGAGTGAAGGAGATCAGATACAACCCGGATGAGCTCACAGCGGCACTCTACCTCCAAGTGAGCATCATCAGTCAAGCTCTGATTTTTGTCACCCGATCAAGGAGCTGGTCCTTCATTGAGCGGCCAGGGTTCCTGCTCGTCTTCGCCTTCTTCGCTGCACAGCTTGTGGCCACCTGCATCGCTGTGTACGCCAGCTGGAGCTTTGCGAGGATCCGAGGCATCGGATGGGGATGGGCGGCAATCATCTGGGTCTTCACCGTCATCACCTACATTCCTCAAGATATCCTCAAGTTCATCATTCGTTACGCCCTCAGTGGCAAAGCCTGGGACACCCTCATCCAAAACAAGGTAGCACTTTCTCATACTTTTGGATTAGTTACACTCAGGCACTCTGAAGTACAGCGCAATTACACGTGTGATCATGGAGTCTGCATGATTACAATCAATTATTTAAGGATTACCTGTGTAGATACGGAGACTTTAGGGTTTCCCCTGCAATTATATCAAAGCTCAGGGCATACCTGAAGATAATTAATTCTTTACTTTTTCATCATGTCACCTATAGCTGGTGTTTAATCCGGGGACTGAATTGAGTTTATATGTTTTTATGCGTAGACGGCTTTCACTTCCAAGAAAGACTATGGAAAGGGAGAGAGGGAGGCGCAGTGGGCTTTGGCTCAGAGAACCCTGCATGGGCTCGACACGCCAGGGCTCTTCAACGACAAGAGCGACTACAGAGAGCTGTCGGAGATCGCTGAGCAGGCGAAGAAGCGTGCTGAGGTTGCCAGGCTCAGGGAGCTGCACACGCTCAAGGGCCGCGTTGAGTCTGTGGTGAAGACGAAGGGTTTGGATATTGAGGCCATCCAGCAGAGCTACACTGTTTAACTCCAGGGATCCAAAAATTTTTTTCTTTAATTTAATTCCCAGTTTTTTTTTCCTTTTTTTCCTTTTTTTCCTTTTTTTCCTTTTTTTCCTTTTTTAAAGCGAAAAAGGATATGAGGTGTAATTGGGCTGAAAGAAACAGGGCAGGGATTTGGCTTTTTAGGCTATTTGAAGAGAGAAGGTAGAGAGAAATGGGCTGTTTATTTATATATGATATTATTACCATCGCTGGTATTTCTATCACGAGTCATTCCTCATTCTCGTGAATCTGCTTCTTGTTGCTCTGTTCTCCGTGCTTGCTTGATCTGGGGGCCTTGAGGAGAGAATACGCTTTACATTCTCTTTTATTGAAAAAAAAAAAAAAAAACACAAAACCCGAACAAAAGATGAGGAAGGTTTTGTTGAATTGAAAATAGTTAAGGGAGATTATCTTAAAAAAAACGTAGGTGCGCGTGCGGAGTTCTTAAATCATCTAAAATGAAACAATTGTGAGATACTAGTCTCGACTTCGTCTACATGGATCCTAACGTTAAGGTCCTGTTGTAATAAAGTATCACTATATGATATTGATCTGATTAAGGAGCTGAAAGCAGGAGCTCCTGACAATAAAGAGAAACCTCACAAAACCCGCGACTCGAGGAAGGACGCAATCTTGAAGGTAGCGGAGTTGAAGGCAGCCAATTCTTCTTCGGTTCTTTCGACGATGGACGGGATGAGCCCTCCGAGTCAAGAATCATCTCCTATTCTTTCAACGATGGACCGAAGGAGCCCTGCTCTGGCTTCGACGCATCACAGCCTCCAACTGCTCTACCCCTTCCCTCCGCCTTACACCTGTCGCTGTCGCTGCCGCCGCCTCCTCCTCTGCCTCTTCCTTCTACCTCACAGGTGACCAAGAACGTGATGATCTCAGCCAAAACCCTACGGTGGTTGCTCGGGCCTACGAGCAAGAAGACAGCCGTCTTTTGGTGCGGCCATCAGATGTTTAGGGTTGTTACTTTGATATACTGTACATTTTTGAAATAAAAAGGTCGATTATACTTTCTATTTGCTCTCGGCTTTCTTCTTTGTATTTCCAATTGGATTTTTGAGATCTTAAGTATTTTTCCAAACAATTCTTTTGAAATAAATCCCAATATTTCTTCATTGAATTTCCCAATTGGATTTTTTGCTTAATTGATAGATAGGGAAGCTTAATTAAAACAATCTTAATAAGACTCGTTTTTATTCACACGGACCTATCTTTCCTAGCCTTCGATTTTAGTTTCAACTTGTAACTTGCAATGAGCAGATATGCCAAGGGTATTTAGTTCTTGCAATTAGAGAGTTCTCTTTCAACTCCACCTTCGTCGTCGTAGCTCCACCCTTTTTCTTTTCTTTGTTCGTCCTCCTCCTCCCTCCACGCCATCTCCAACCTCGCACCTCCACCTTCTCTCTTTCTCCTCCACCAGTCCTCCTCCTCTCCTCTCCATGTCAATTGCATTCTCCTCTCTCCTCCTACTGAATTTTATCATAGTCCATCATCCCCCATCCTCTCTCATCTGATCCATCTTCTCCCTCGTCCACTTCCATCTCTACCCTTCTCCTTCCTCCTCCATCCTCCCCCCTTTTTTCTTTGTCCTACCAATCTCTTTATTCCTTCTTTTTCATATTAATTTTTAAGATTCAGCTTTGAATTTTAAGTGTTAACATTGAATTCTTTTTCATACTCATTTTTAAAGACTTAACTTTAAATTTTAAGTGTTAAGATTGAATGTTAATGGTAAGATTATTTTTGTTAAATTTAATGTTTTTCTACTAATTAATTTTAAGAGTAGGGTGTTAACTTCAAATTTGAAGCGTCAACTTTAAACTTTTGAGTGTTAGTTTTAAATTTGAATAATAACTTTTGAGTGTTAACTTTAGCCTTCTTTAAAATTGAATTCACACTCTATAAATTTTGAGTGTTAACTTTAAATTTTGTCAATTAATTTTAAAATTGAAGTGTTTACTTTAAATTTTGGATTTGAAGTGTTTACTTCAAATTTTAAAGTTGGAAGTGTTTACTTAAAGATTAACACGGATGAGAGAGGAGGTAGGAAGAGGTGGTGAGGTCGGACAAGTGATGAGGGCAGAGGTGCAGGAGGACGATAAGGAAGAATCGTGGACGGAAGAGTGAGGGTGGAATTTTAATACCAAAATATTACCGAGTATGGGGAAAAAAATACCAATGATATGAGGGCGCTACTAAAAGTACCAAGCTGGTAATTTAGCCTTCTTTTTTTTATTCAGGTCATGGGTGTGCCAAGTAAAAGAGTTTTAATGCAACAAAGCTCTTTGATTGTGGGATGTTCAACCACTTTTCTCTCATAAATCCACTTAAACTGCCTACAAAATATTAAAAGCGAGTGGGTAACTAGATACTGAAAGTGATGGTGTCAGGTGGTAACATGAGGCCAAAAAGTAGTTACTGAGGTAAGAAAAACAAGGATCTAATTTATGACAAATTTTCAAAAACAATCCGTTTAGAAACTTAATCTCAAAATACAACTTATTTAGAAACTATTTATCAAATTCGACCCGGTGTCAGCTAACTTGCTGAAACTAGATCGAATTTGGTGAAAAAAATTTCAAAACTTCATAGAACATCAAGTCCCGTGAAATTTATGCACCAGATAATCAAGTTTAAGTATTCGTGGACAAATTTTCAATTTAGCCCAATTTCAAAACTTATTCTCAAAAAATGACCTATTTGAAAAATAGTTACCAAATTCGACCTAGTTTCAGCAACCGGCTGAAATTGGGTCGAATTTGGTGAATATTTTTCAAATAGGTTGTTTTTTGAGAACAAGTTTCGAAATTGGGATAAATTGAAAATTTATCCACGAATAAAATAGTTCAGGGGGTAAGGTAAAATGGGGCTAAAACGCGCAGTATTTTTTATCTCTCGACTCATTTACTAACACTTTACCTTCTGGAAAATGCCAGTCCACTGATGACGAGTTTTAGCATTCGAAAATCTGAAGAGAAGGAGATCATCGCAATTCACCCAATTATTTTACACGCATTTCCTCCCTCGATCACTTAAAACTTGAAACCTAGCGAATTTTAGTATTGCTTTTAACCACTGGCAACATTGCCGCAGGAACCAAAATCAAATGAAAGCACCAACAGCAGAACGTTCAATCATCCTTAAAACAGACATCGACAACAAATCCGAGATCGTCTCGGAATTAAACAAAATCCATTCTACCCAACGAAACTGACATGATATCTCGAAATTACTTCCATTTTTCTTTTTAAAAAAAAAATTCCTGCTAGATTGAGAGAAGGAAATGACCTAGCCGCCCTCTCAAAAACCCAGCTTGGTGCGGCGCCAGTGCCTGCGCTTCGCGTTGTACCTGACAAATTACAACAAAGACCAGAAGCAAGCGATCAAAACATGGACCAAAACAAAACAAAAAAATGAAAATAATAAAGAAAAAAAGAGGCCGGGCGATGGAGAGCTGAGACCTGATCGTGTTATCGGTCCGCATACGGATCCAATGGGGAATGGGCCTGTTCTGCCTCATCTTCTTCGCCAGCTTCTTCTTGATCACGAACGACTTGTGCGAAGGCTGCAGAGAAATCGAAAAAGGATGAGAAACCCTAATTCGCGAAAATTAGGGAAGAAGCGAGATCGAGGGAGGTCTACCATTTTCGCTGTCAGACGATGGAGGCGGCGGGAACCCTAAACAGTGAGGAGACGAGATTGGCTCGTTTATTATATAGTGGGGCTTTTGGAAAAGGCTTTCGTCAACCTGGGTTTTGCCACAGAGTCCGATAACATTGGCCCAAGCTTGTTAACAGGCTAGACCCAAATGAGTTAGCCCATACCTAATGTATCAACTGCTACTCTTTTTAGTTTTTTTTTTTTCGCCCTATTAAGTTGTGAAACCTAAAACTTGAGAACATAATATAACATGTATATATGGTCAAAACATGTCCAAGTTGTTTAATATTTTATTTATAAATAGTTCATGTATTCAATGATACAAATTTTAAATTTGGATATCTACTGTCCGCAATTTAGATCGTTCAGCTCACTCGTAGAGAAAGACGATTAGGGAATCGGGAAGTCTGAAGTTAATAAAAGGAAAGTGAAAAATCTATACGCTTACAGCACCTGGCTGCTATCAGCGGTAAGAAGCCAAACGGAGATAAAGAGTACAATGAGGGATTAAGGTGGCTACGAGGTGTCTTAAATATCTTAAATCTTCTCTGACACCTGACGAGCCTTTTTTAACCTAGAAACAGCCTCTTCAACATGTAACCTGTTTCTCTCCATACCATAAGAGGAAAGAAGTCAATACTGTATTACAATGAAAGAGTCCGCCAACAAGCTATATTTTGCTTATTATAGCTGCTTTGACGCTGAACTTGCAGCTTACTGAAAGAAACCCATATCAAATGGTCCAACGCAGCACAAAACGTAAACATCGTGAATACACCTGACCATTCAGATCACAGAAGCAAACACGCATCAAGATGGCTCTCACACACCAACCATTCAACCAAACCAACACAAAGAGGTTGAAGATGCCGGAATTATCTACCAACTATCAGGCAAAGAATCATGAACTGGTCAACAGCATTAGTTTTTACTACCGCTGAATATGAAGCTTAAACTGAGATGATGATGTTGTACATCACATCTGTGACAATGTAAGAGCTCTGAAATCACCAGAGATACGTATCAATGTGTACTATACACTGTGAAAAAAATCACGACAGACCTCAGTAAAATGGCAACAGGACCAAACTGCATCAAAATAGCCTCACAAAAACACGGCCTTCGTTAGCAGTTGTCACAAACAAGAGACTGTTTACTGATGGTTACCTCTCCTGGTCTCCTTTCTCTGTTGGCGGCATTTGAGCTTTATTATCTTTACCGTCAGAAGGAAGGGGGCCATTTTTGCTACAACTAGCAGCCATTTCATTTGCTTCTAAAGGTGAAGGATCAGGTCCCATTCCTTCTTCAATTGGTAGAGTCCTTTTCGAGCCCTCTAGGGCTACATTAAGAACAATGTTCTCCTGAAAAGCTGTCTTTGGCACTGAAGATGAAGAAGCTGGTCTCTCAGTCTTTACCGTAGGATGAACCACAACTTCCAGTGGTTTAGTTATGGTTTCCGCCACAGGAGGCTTCTCATTGTATTCAACCTGAGGCTTGGAGGTTGAATTTGATGATGACCCTTGGGGTTTCTCTACTGATTTTGTCTTATTTTGTTGCTGTTTCTCAGAATCATTCTGTATTGTTGCATCGGTTAGTGTAGTAGGATTTGGTTCTGATGCTACAGTATTTTTTGTGGCTTGTTCTTCATTTGGTCGAGGTGTAGTTTGTACTTTCGCTTTGTTATCGCCGTTGATACGCTGAGGAGGCTCTAGTAGAAGTAATGGACGGTTGACAGCTCGGCCACCACGGGTGAAGATGGTCTCTGAGAAGGGGATGTTATCCATATCAGAATCACTGTAAACTTTTTGCACCGTACGAATTGGCGTAGCAAGCCTGGCTCGGTGATGGCTAATTACTCTGAGTAAGTCCAGCAAAACGGCTTCCTATTGTATTTCAATTGAAGCGCCAAAAAAAATCTCATTGTTAGTATGATATTGACAGGATAACCAAAGTAAGTTCCTTTTAAATGACAGATCACGTGTAGAAAATTATCAAAGAAAGAATTGAATTTATGAAATGATCCATGTGCTTCAGGTTGCCCATTGAGAGGATCATTCTCACCTTGACACAGAGATACTCCTCAAAATGAGAAGTCTTCACAAAACAGGATATCAGAATCTGTAAAAGGAAAATGCGAAAACAGCATTTAAAATAATAAACAGTAACAGTAAACTAAGGCAGTAAGATATATCATTGACAACCAAAACTAACAAGCAACAGTCCAACACTCAACATCAACAGTAGGAGAAGAATCATGAAAAAAACCATTAAATACTAAATGTTCAATCAAAAAGATTAAAAAGCAATTTAATATCAAACTTGAAAACAAATCATAGTTATGGTTCGTAGATAATAAATATATTGAATTCCAAGTAGCATAGCAACATAATAGAAAGCATGTCAAGAAAAAATTGAAATTACGAATTCGTCGAGGGAAACAAGATGTGACACACTAAAAGCTTGTAGAAAAAACTGACAAAATGGGTAATAATGATATACGGTAAAAAACACCAATAGATAGCTTAACATAGAGCTTCAAATATCCATCATCTAAAAATCAGTTGGAAAGAGTCAGATATAGTAAACAACCTGTCATTCACTGTTGACTTTCATCAACTAAAAATCAACTGGAAAGAGTCAGATCTAGTGCAGAACCAATTAGTTAAGTTTCAACTTAACTGTCTTTGCAATAATACTATTCCACATGAACAGTTTGATTATGAAGTCTCGAGAAAACAAATGTAATGTGACTACAGCATATTTCAAGTCTCAATTAGATAAACCTTCATGAGGTACCTTTGATGATAAAACTGAATAAAAATGTGACTGAACGTCAAAAGTATCAAAAGAAGAAAAAAAATTATGCCATTAATAGCTCCCTAGTGCTAGTAAACTTGTGGACTGTAAGAACATAAAGATATGAAAGACTTATTTCGAAGCAGGTTTAAAGACACGAGACAGGAGTGTGTCAGCTTGAGATTTAATACATGGAGAGTGGACATCCAAGAGAAATGGTAAATCAAAGGTATTTATAGATATGCATTGACAGAAAGAAAGTGCTTCCAGTCAACTTAATAATGTGGTGATTTAATAATTCACCAACAAACTGAACCCAAAAAAAAAAAAACATTAGTACTTTATCCATATAAATCAGACAGTGCACAGTGATAAAATGCATGAAAATGGTAAGCACTACCCAACAACAAAGAGGACTCAAGACAGTTAGATTAACTGCTGAAAACAGAAAAGCTATAGCTGTCACCAATCAGTTGAACAAAACAATACAATAATGTTTAAGCTACTCAAGGAGTGGGTGTATTTACCAAAAGAGCTTGATTTTCTGGGTTGATATTCTCCAGAAATACTCTTCTGTGAAGTCTCTGCTGTTCTATCTGAGGATTTTTTGCTAAAACTTTACGCATATCTGCAACTATGTTCTGCCAACAAAATTACATATTTTTAATTATCACAAAATACAAGTCAAGGGTAGTTAAACCAAATCAAATGTATCTAGCATAAAAGATTTTTTTTCTCACATTAATTTTGTTAACATCCAAATGGCTGATAGCAAGATGAGTCTTAATACGCCAGTGAGTCCTCTGAGTAAGATTCCTCACAACATTAACTGTGAATTTGTGGTTAGGTATATGGATTGCTTCACGATCGTCACCCCTTATAACCGTTGGAGACCACCAACCAACATGCTGCAAGGGCAAGAAAAATATTAGAATTGGAACCTGTGAAAAATAATCTCAACAAACATATAAAAAAAATTATATCAGAGGGATGCTTCAAAATTGTTCATAAATTCTATTCAAAGAAAGCTCCCAGGGGCACATTCCAGCAGGAAGACAACAGCATCCAAAATAATTATGCCAGCAAGCACTGTCCATCTAAGAAAAGAACAGAATGGATAAGTGTAAAAATTCACAAACCAACCTCGACAATTCCAGACACCTCATATCCCTCAATTTTAGCTTGAATCCATTCATTTGGAACAAATGGGCGTGTGGCATGAATCATAATACTCGACAGAAAGTTTGTGAATATCTGCAAAAAAAGGAAAAGTCGCTTAATGATAATCTACTGTTTAGAAGTTCAAGCATTGTCATCTATTTCCTGATTATTGCTATTTAAAGTTTCAATTATCAATATCATCATCATGTACGTCTTTCCTCATAAAGACTTATCTGGTTAAAGTGGAAATTGATTAAATGTCAGCTGGTGCCAACGTCATGATGAGGCTCCTTGTTAAGGAAATAAGAGCCTAGAGTCGGTCTTGCTATAAATCCAAGGAAGGCTGTTAGGAGGTAGGAAACATACCATATGGATCCTGCTATCTAAAGCTCATAACCAAGAAGCAATCAGCTAAATTCTCCTAGACTTTGAAAAGGTCTAGAAGAAATCAGATGAAGATTTGCTATAGGAAATGCAATAATTTACCGTTTTAATATACAAATAAATAAAGTAGAGGTACCTCACGACCAGCAAGGGTCAGCAGCACCGTCCCAAGACCTCCAGCAGTGACCCATTTCTGGGTTGAAAACCCCAGTAACTCCATGAACAAAGAAACTGCCGCAATCCAAACTGCAGAGTACACAGCTTTACCAGCAAATTGGAAACCCATCTGCATAATAAAGACAGTTAAACAAAATGCAGAGCATGAAATTTCAATTACCACCATCACCAATGACCATATAAAATAAGATGACCGCCACTCATAGGGTCCGAGCAAGAAACTAGAGTTACCACAATAAGGAACATCTTTGATCAGACCAGTAATAAAGGATTAAAATTTCTTACATTATCAATGTGCCAATCTACAAAACAGTTAATTCGATTATTTGGGTTGGATATATGCAACTCTTCTCCTTTAAGCTCCAATATGGCCCATTTCCTCATTTTCCAAGCACTTCAAACGCAAATCTAAATATCACCAGACCTTAGAGCAGTTCCCATTTTCTCTTTACTGGGCAACGATCACACTCTTTAAACCTAGCCTAGTTCGTTTGAAAGTATATCTGTGATTCCTATATGGTTCTCAAACATAAAATAAATGTAAAAATAATTTATAAAAACAGCTCGTCTGCCTTGCTTTAGTTTCCTCCTCTTAGTCCGATAGATCTTCACTTCAACACAGCTACCATTACTTAGATCTCCACTGCTTCTCTCTCTAAATTTGGCTAGCTCATATGTCCTTCTCTTCTCAAATTAATCTCCTGCACAACTTATTATAAGCCATCAATTTAGACTTAGTGAATTCTTCCTAGTTTTCCTTTTTGCTGAGTAACATCTCAAGGTTTTCCATCATTTGCATCTTATGTAAAGCTTTCTCAATGTACTTTTCTTAATTACTTTTAGCACTTTTTCATGGCATCAACAATATCCTCTACAGAAAATCCCACCTACTCTGATCCCTCTTTTATCTTGCAATTTTTATAAAAGTTGGCATTTTTATTCCGAAAAATACTAATGATTCAGGACTGATAGGAAAGAAGTGGAATCTAGGGGACAAGGAAGACAAACTGAGAGTATAGAGACAAAGGTTATAAAAGGACCAGAATGTAAAATAGAAACAATCAGTTGCAAGTCTAACAATCCATTTTTTTGCATAACAAATATGTCCTGATTATATGTTCAGTAATTATATCAAATAAAAGGATAAAAATAAAATAAATACTCTCACAAAAACACAATCTAAAACATAATTCTTGCATATTCAAATAAGAAAAGGTAAGACCCTATCTAATCTCAAGTGAATTAATACGTGAATCCTAATGGATCTGATAAATTGAAGTTTGTAACAGATCTGATGCATTAATTACTTTCATCATCTATATTTTATTTTCGACTCATCATCATATTATCTAACAAGTTTATATTTCTTTATAAATTCCACCTAGTAATTATTTTCTTACACATAATTTTTTATGTCATCCTCTTTGTCAGCATATGATACATTTCTGATATCATCAACGTATGTTATGGTTCCCATGACAAATTACATATGATGCATAGGTTATTTGGGTTAGCAGGAATGATGAGTATGGGAAAGAAAGTCTAAATAAGAAATAGTTCAGTGAGAAGACAATTTATTTTTAGAACAATTATCTTTTGTAGATAGTGCATAATTACAAGTGTTTTTTTCCAGTTTACATTCCAATTATGAAGACTATGAACTGTCGAAGTGTGAAACTGCAACTACTTTCAGGCAGGAAAAGTAAAATGTACAACTTGCTTTAGAGAGAAGTGTTAATATATTGTAATAAATAAGAACTTCCATATCACAATATTTTTAAGAACGTGAAAGAAACAGTATGTTGTAATTAAAATACAATATTTAGATCAATGTTCTAGAAAACTTGCTTAAGAACTCTATATCAATTGGAGGATATTATCCTCTCCTATTAATCTATCTCAACCAGAAAGCCATGAGTCATCTGGGTGCAACATCAACAATGAACCGGTTAACAAAGGAAAGAATGGGAATTTTGACTAATAACGAAAAAGTTAACAGCATACATTTCTGGTATCATCTGAGCTGCTCTTCTCCATGAAGAATTTTTGTGTTTGCTGAATCAAGCTGCACGCAATAAACATAACCAGTCACATAATCAGATACAAAACTGGCAAAAAAATTTGGTAACAACACAAATTTTGATGAGAATAAGAATTTTCAAATTTGAAGAGTACAAGGTACAATTGCAGAGGGTATGAGGCTGTGCCAAAGCCTCATTTATATACTTGAGTACAAGGTACAATTGCAAAGGGAATAAGAATTTTATGCCATAGCAGAATCTAATAAACCTAATGAATGGTGAGTAGTGTGCACATAATAGAACTTACCTTGTTAAACAATATGCAAAGGCCAGTACAGTTGACAGTGATTGTACAAAGTTCAAAAGGCGCCTCTTAACAGTTTGGCTTGTTGCTGAAGGTAAAACTACAGGGTCCAGCGCCCTATAAAATAAGAAAGCTAAAATTACTCTTACATTACTACGTTCATAATGCGTTGTTTATGAGGACTTCTTTATATAAGAGACGGATTAGAAATATCAGCATGCCTGCATACTAGTGTCGCTCCAGTCCAAAGCAGCAGTGGCTGAAGGTATGACGTAAATACATAGTGTGTTTTACTCTTGTTCCAGTTTGCATCATTGCGCTGTAAGACATTAGTAATATGCTACTTTTCAGAATCTGAAAAGGTGTTCAAGAGCATAAAAAAATACATGAAAAAACAAACTTCTGCTGTGACGAATAAGTGGTCCCAGACCCCACACTGCAAAAGCAAGGATCCCAATTGCTGGGGCTAATCGCATCACAAGAGGACTTTCCTTTATGACAATATAAGATCCACTCAAAAAAGTACCTTCCTTCAAGACATTATAAGACCTAATCACAAGAAACCATTTGTTCAGAGCATTATCTGACGCAGAAAATAATAAGACATAAAGCTTATGAGGGTTGTGTGTGCATTTTGTGTTTTTCATGGATCATTTGCCAGCAGAGCAAAACTTCCCATCCTTTAAATTAAGTCGTTGGTCAAAACATACGTTCCAATTTGATGATTCTAGTATTAAACTGTTCATGAGGGTTATGGCACTGTGAGGGAAGTTTTAAATCACTTATCAATTATCACATTTGTTCTGCAACTCAAGAGCTATTAATTTCGGGACTAGTAGATGCAGAATGAGAATGTCTCAAACCATGCGATTTATCATCCTGTAAAAATTTGACAGGAATATCATGATAACAATGTGTATCGTCCATTGCCGTATAAAGTCAGAAAAAGTAATGAATGGGACATGATCTTAAAATAAGTGTTGATAAATATCTTATCTGCATGTCAAAATAGATGTGCCAATCTACAGGTCCCATGGATGAGTTATATGAAGAAAGAGAACGCAATAAGCTGATATATCAAGCAGATCATCACCAAGATTGCTTGTTAAAACTATCAGAAACTTAACATGCATGACTAGTTTACGGGCCATGTAATTAAGCGTGAGTTATAGATATTTTCTTTCATTCTTTCTGAGAGAAATAAAAGGGGCGGTGAAGACACGGGTGGTATACATGCAGCTCACCATAAGGTTGTAATGTATGTGTATGCATGCAAACATGCAGGGTAAAGGTAGTTCACACAACTATCAATTGGGTTATAAATTTCACGTTTTATCCAGCCATGTATATATGTATCGGTATATAACATGTATCTATATGTGTATATGTGAAACTGGGCCGCATTTATCAAAATCCAGAAAGCAGCAGCTAAGAATATCTCACACCATCTGCCATAAGAACATGGACAAGCCAAATTTTAAAGGACGAGTTGTAGCAATTTGATCAGCACAAGAATCAACTACCGCAGGCCATTTTTAAAATCATTGTGCAGATACCAGTTGTCATTTACAGCTGAAGTAGCGTATCATTAAGAATATAAAGCCTATTCAACAATAGAAAGAATTTAACTAGACACAGAAGGTTGAGTTTGTTCAGGTGAAGAAAATCTCTTGCTTCAGTTTGAGCTACAAATTGTATATAAATGATACTATGATAGACCTCATAAGTACATACCAAGAGTCCAAGACAATTCAAGCATGTCTTTCTACACCTCACATACTTCTATCCCTTCTCTTGTCTTCCACAATTTCATTAAAGTTCTAAATGTTTGCTAAGTAGAGCTACATGAGGCATCTATGATCACTCATCAAAGTTTACGACTCGCAGCATTTGGAGCTTGAAATCCATTTCTTGAGTCTCCAATGGTTATAATTGGACTCAAATATGCACGAGTAAAGTAGGATCTGACAGATAATATGACGTCGTTGTGAATGTTTAGGCACATAAGCATGGGGTTGGCAGCAAGGAAACCTTTCAAATACATCTATCAACCAATTCGGATGACAGAACTTTCATTGACAGATCTCTCCTCGTGTCTTTGCTTTCTTTCACAGGAACATTACAATTTTATAGTTCATGTTTATTAGTTATGTTGTGTGTGCCATTATACCTTGTCGCATGTTGTTTCATGTTGGCATATTTATTTGTTACTGAAAGCACTTGCGTAATGAGTAATTTGCAATGAGATCGAAATAAGTATACTTCTTGTTGAAGACAGATGAAAGTATAGTACCTAGACAAAGCCAAGGCGGTGTTCTTCAAAAGAGGTAGCGCATCTGAAAAGCTTGGCATGACAAAACAATGACATGTGAAAAGGTTGTATCTAGATGAGGCACGTTGCCGTGGCCTGTATATCCTATCTGATACATGGAGAATCCAAATGTCTTGTCGCTGCATATAAGATAAATCTCATTAGATCTTCATCCGCATAAAAAAGACCCAAAAACATACTCAACAAAAGAAAAGACAGTTAAACATCCCAAGCACTTCCCCACCATCCCTCCCACTCTCAAACTATGTGCTTCGGCTTTGAGGTAGAATAAACGAAAGAATTAGGACCTTGGAAATGTCCAACAAAGTGAAACAACGTAATCCTATTGCACGCAAGAAAACATCTCTCTCTCCATAAAATGGAAGCAAACGTTGATAGGGCTTTATTCATAAAATCATTAAAGGAACCCTAGCCGCATCAGTTAGGTTAACTATGCGTAGTAGTCAACTTTTTATAGTTCTAATTCAAGCTTGGCGAATCGTGCTTAGCTTGACATTTATACTGAATTGAAATCTTAAAACATTTAAATCAAGAATTACATCACTTCCAAACTAAAGATTAATCTCTTAACAGAAGCATACCAAAGCGCGCGAAGATGATAAAGAAAAGCTCGGCAAGTGGGAATGGCACCAGCTCCTCATTTCCGAGCTCTAACGATCAAGAAACAAACAAAACATAAAAAGATGTACATAATTAATCGGAAAAACAAACAAATCGATGCTCGCATGAAATAATTAGGTATGTACCTTGAATTGCTTAGATCGGCCACCATAATTCCTTATAACACCGAATTCTTGGGGCGGCAGCTGCAAAGAAACTCCGACCGCCATCGCCGAGCTCAAGTGAACGATTATTAAAGCACGAGAGACGAAGCTAAGGCTAGGGTTTCGATTTTAGGGGGGAAATGAGAAAAAATTAGGGCTTTTTTCCCTCTTCTCCGTGTATTTTGAGAAGCGGGGAAATGGAAGAACGATGGAAGTTAGGAACGGAGGAAAATCGAAAGTGTAATTATGGAGCAGTGCACGGATCCGATGATGGCATTGGAGCGGGAGTCCCGACAACATTCGCCCCGTCGACAATGAAAATGGCATCTGGTACGTGTTGGTATGTGGATGGGTGGTTTAGCTGTTTTCTGTTTTCTCTGTGTAGCTAACAGAAATTTGAGGTCCCGCTTTTATTACACCTTCTCCACGAGAGTGGGGATTTTTTCTTGGGGGAAATACCCAATGCGGGCACGTGCTATGCGCGTAAAGAGTAAAGGGCTATATAGAATAGATTTTTGAAAGAACAAATTTTGATTGTAAACTCAAACCAACTTTTAATTATCAAAATCGATCCATTTTTTTTAAATTACCAAAATTGACCCACTTTATGCCACGTAACCTTAATCTTATTTCCTAATTAGTCGGGGTTGTCAACACCGACTGTTTAGGAGGTTGTTAAACCCCAATTAGAAGTCTTAAACCCGATTTTTAATGCCCTAAATAGTCGGGGTTGACAACCCCGACTAATTAGGAAATGTGATTAAGCTTACGTAGCATAAAGTGGGTCGATTTTGGTAATTAAAAAAATGAATCGATTTTGGTAATTAAAAGTTGGTTTAAGTCTACAGTGAAAATTTGTTCTTTTTGAAATAGACCATTTCAACAATTTTTCCCCAAAATGGACTCGGCTAAAGTTTAATTATAAACCTGGATCTAATTTCGGTCACGTTAACATCGTTGGTTGAAATTGAATCAATTTAAAAAAATAAACTTTACAAATTAGACGGGGTTAGTAACACCGTCTAATTAGGAAAGAGCTAATTAAGTTATTATATATAAATGAGTTTGAGAAACTCTTAAATAAAAAAAGAGACTAGATGACTACATAGTTCAAAATAGTCGATATTGGCAACTCTGACTATTTTGAACTCTATTTTAATGATATTCTAATTAGATGGGGTTGCCTACCCTGGCTGATTACAAAATATTGTTCTTTTAAATCGACCAAGTTTCAGCCATTAATACTGACATGGCTGAAACTAGATCGAATTTTATAAGTAAAATTAAAATGGGTCAAATTTTGAAAGTAAATTATAAAATGGGTCTATTTCACAAATTTGTCTATGGTATCAAAACTATGCCTATAGGAGTGAGGTAGTTTACATAGAAACTAATTAATTTTTACTATGAAAGAAAATAAACTTTTACTTCTCCGAATAAATAAAACAGGAGGGATGCTATCAAAACTATCCCTATAGGAGTGAGGTAGTTTACATTTATTAAATAGTCATAATTCTCAATCTAACCCTCTAACCATATGTGTTAGTAGTATTGTTCACTCTTTGTATGGCGTTCTAATAGAATCCTTAGTCTAGATAAAACATGTGATGTAAATTTCTAAAAATTGTCTCTTGTTGTTATTTATTAATTGAAATATCTGATTCAAAAAACTTAAGATATAAGTAAATAGGTGGGTAGCTGAATAAAATTTAATAGAACTTAAAAATGTTTTGAGGTATAGATGTTAATATCAAAATATATTTTACATCGATAAGTTTTTTTAAAATTTTGATTATATATTACTCTAATTATTTTATAAACATTATTTATTTGTTTAAATTTAGACTTGGTTTTGTTATATCACGCAAATGGCTAAGTGTTAATCCCTAAAGAGAAGCCGACGTGTGTCCCACTTTAACTAGGTACCTAATATGTCATATTGTAGAAGGGACGACCTGAGCGGCTTTAGCACCTTTTCTGGGTCGACAGCTTTCAAGGTCAACTAAAAAGTGATACTTATTGGCCTACTCATAGGATTGAGACAAGAGGAGTCCTTACTCGGCCTACCATCCAAGTCAGCCCCACTTCCCTTCAGCACTCAACCCTTTCGGGTCGACAACCTTCGAGATTGACTAGAAAGGTGATACTTGCCAATCTCCAAAGAGCTGAGTCAGAAGGTGATTGGTCCTTGGGCCCCCCGCCGATAGTCGATTACCATCACATTAAATATATCATTAGAGTCATCATTTCTCTAGCCCAAAAGTCTTTGTGACTCATCAGACAAACCTTATTAGCACTATGCACAATCTATCACCCCTCACATTAAATGGTTGGGTGACTCATCCGCCTCTTGGGGTGGAAGAGAACCGAATAATTAATAAATAGTTCAGTTATTATTCGTCCAGATATTCGATCAAGTTCGATTCGATAGTGCATTTAGTACTAAACAATTAATTTTTAGTGTTCGACTTATAAATTATTATAAGTTAACTAAAGGTATGTTCGATTCGGTAGTTCATTAACTATTTGATAACTTTTACATTTTAGTCCTATTAATTGAGTTTATTGCAAATATTACTTATCTAAATTTTTATTTACAAATGCTACCCATATAAATAGGTAAGAATGTGTTCTAGGGCTAGGGTATTCTCCTTTGTTTAAGTTGTTTCTATCCGCCTCCACCCTTCAGCTCAGACTCCAAGGATCGATGGATCGCTCCTCTCTCCTCTCGCAGTCCCTGTCGTTCCGCTCTCTACCCTGTCAACCCCTCCTCTCTTTCCCGTTGATTCTCACTCCTTTTTCCTTTTGGCCTCCAGTCTCCGATGTGTTATTCCCCTGTCAATGACCGAAGATCTCGTCCTCCGTCAACTCTGTCTTCGCCCTCGAGTCATTCGCTACCCCCTCTCCCCCCGGACGTCCTCATTCGCCCCTCCGCTTGTGTCCCCGCCCGTCTCTACCTCCCCAAGGACCCCAACTCATCAAAACTCTAACAACGTCGCCTTTACCTCCCCAATCAATCACCTCTTCATCAAAATGTAAATCAAAGATTAAAGTTACCATTTTTCTTGACTTTTAACTTAAATTAGTTGCTAAAGATTACTTCTTTATGCCTTTTACGTATAATTTTACAGAAAATTCTTGTGGATCTGTAATTTCCAAAATTGTTTAAGTTTAATGTCTATATTTCTACAGAATGCACTATATGTTTGTTTTTAATTTCGAATAATTGATGAATAAGTATTGAATATTAAACGAATAATGTGGGAAAAATTACAATGCGAATAAATGTTGTCGAATCGAATTTGAATGGTCATTTCGTATTCGACTCGAATACGATCACGAATTCGAATATATAAAAATGGACCGAATTCGAATTCGAATGGGTAGCTATTCGCTTCGATTCGGTCGTTTACCAACCCTACCCTCTGCAATCGACATTTGTAAAGCAGATAACGATTGTTACTCATCTACCCCCTCGAATCTCCTATAAAAGGAAATTTTTGTCCACTGCTGAGGATAAGCAATCTATTGCTAACAAACTAAATACTTAACTCCCTTTCTTCCCCACTCAAGCTCTCTGTTGACTTGATTGTCGTAGGAACCACCGGATATTCCAACTGTGACCTCTTACGTGTTTTTTATGTGTAGGACATGATTCTTGACCTAAGATTCAGCCGTTTGAAGGAGATTGAGGACCGTAACCTTCTTAATCCACACATAAACTCTATGTTAGATAACTGACATCAACAAGTTTTATATAGCTTTAATAATGTTAATAATAGTGTATTGTAGTGGGTTTTAGTCCCACATTGGTTGTGAGAACACACCTTAGCCTTCTCTACTTGTATAAATATATGTGTACACTCATTATTTAACTCAAGGGAAATTTACCCAAAACACACACTCTCTCTCTCTCTCTCTCTCTCTCTCTCTCTCTCTCTCTCTCTCTCTCTCTCACTTACTTTAACATGATATCAGAGCTAGAGTTATATTATTTCCCTTGAGTTAAATATTGAGTGTACACATATATTTATACAAGTAGAGGAGGGTAAGGTGTGTTCTCATAACCAACGTGAGACTAAAAACCACTACACTACACTATTATCAACAGCCAGCAATTCAAAGTTCAAGATAATAATCCTTGAACGAAACCCGAATGTTCAATATGAGAACGAGAGGATACAGGACCAAGTACTCCGGACTGGATAAGACTTTTCCAGCCTTTTATGAGACACTGTTTGTGGGAAATTTGCAGTAAAAAAGACAATAAAGGAAAATTTGATTTGTATTCCTTTAATCTCAGTTACAATTGGATTTCCTGATTACAAAAGAGAAGAGAATGAATTTGATTCTCCCCTTTGTTTAATTCTGGGTTCTTCATGGTGGCGATGAGATGCCTCCCTCGAATGCTCGCGTCGAGTTTGCTTCTCGTTGACGATCCGATGTCTTGTTTCACTGGAACGTGGTCTTCTCCTCACGATTTCACGTTGTGGAGAACTCTGAACGAGTTTAAAACTCTATGAACGAGTTGATTTAACCGAAAGTCGGTTATAAGCTAAGGATCAAAAAGATCTTGTTGCCGATCTCCAAAGCTCCAACCGAAGGATGAAGGATCCTCTTTTCGCTGCCAAGAAGTTCCAACAGACCGCCTCAAACTGAATTGATTTTTAGTTATTTATAGGGGATTAAGAGGTGTAACCACCTCCTTAATTCGCTCCTAAGTGGGGCTAATGGGATGTAACCGCCCCTTAAATCACTCCTGAGTGGAGTTGTGATCCTCGTGGGAAATGGTTTTGAAACCATTCAGCTCGTGTTTGAACGAGTCAAACGCAAAATCCATGTTCTGATGTGAATTCTGTGTTCAAACGCAGTATTTGGAAGCTCAGACGCAGCAATTTGGAAGCTGCGTTGGCATCTTGTTGAAAACCGTGTTTGGCAGCTTTAGAGTTGCATTTGGCAGCGGATGAAAGCTGCGTTGATAGCTTTCGGAGACTGCGTTTGTGGCCGAACATGAACTGCGTTTGCAACTTTTGGAGCTGCGTTTGCGGCCGAACATGAGCTGCGTTGGCGGCCGAATCTGAGCTGCGTTTGCAGCTTTTGGAGCTGCGTTTGCGGCCGAACATGAGCTGCATTTTGCGGCCGAATCTGAGCTGCGTTTGCAGCTTTTGGAGCTGCGTTTGAGCTGCGTTTGAGCTGCGTTCGTGGCTATGGACGCGGCGCATCTTGATGCTGGTACGCGGGGATGACTTCCACGTCTTGATTTGAAGAGACCGTCGATTTGTAGTCTCTTTCTATCGAAGTT